GTATACCCTCTCACCCAGAAGTCCCACTCCTGGGAATCTACCCTACAAAAAATGAAAGCTGTGGTACAGACAGTATAATACAAGACCGTTTACTGGATTATGGTACATAATGGGAAAAATGGAAACAAAATGAGTGCCCATCAGCAGGAGAAAGTTGGTTCAATCACAATATTGTTATACAAAGGATTGTCATATAGCCATTCAAAAGAATGAATTAGAGCCAATGAAGTTGGATTGGAGGGATTATTGCTGAGTGAGAAAAGCAAGATGCAGAAAAGCATGTATAACATAATTTCTTTGTATAATACATATACATAGTCATAAGTAGGCTTATGCATATCTATGTTTGAATATGATCATATGGGCATGGAGAGAAATATTAAAGGAGACTTTTATTAACATGGGTTGGGAGGAGGAGCAGTGAGTAATGTGGGGACTCTAAGGATGGTAGGAGGGGAAACCAAATCAAAAAGAAAAGAAATTCGGGCGCCTGGGTGGCTCAGTTGGTTAAGCGACTGCCTTCGGCTCAGGTCATGATCCTGGAGTCCCGGGATCGAGTCCCGCATCGGGCTCCCTGCTTGGCAGGGAGTCTGCTTCTCCCTCTGACCCTCCTCCTCTCATGCTCTCTGTCTCTCATTCTCTCTCTCTCTCAAATAAATAAATAAAATCTTAAAAAAAAAAAAAATTTAAAAAAAAAAAAAGAAAAGAAATTCACTTAAACAAGGAGGCAAGATTTGATCACATTTATTCATTTGTACATAGGTGTATGAAGTTTTTTTTTTAACTTACAGGGGAAAATATTGTTTAATTTTCAAAAAAAGGAGCATTATTTGATATATTTAATTAATTGTCACTTTGTAAAGCACAGTCTGAAGAAGATCTGAAGAGATGTTTTTCCAAAGAAGACATACGGATGGCCAGCAGGTACATGAAAGAGAAAGAATGAACACTTCTAGGAAGGCTGAGAAAAATCAGAGAAAGTCCTTCTTTAAGCATAGAATCCCCCAGGGCAAGCTCTACTTCCTGTGTTGGAGTCCTAGAGACACAAAGCAAAAGATCAGGCCTGGTCCAGAGGCTAATCTGCAACTGGTTCCCACCACTAAGCCGGGGGTAGATACCTGGATGGAAATCACACGGTCCCAGGTACAATAGGAGACAGTCAATGAAAGTTCCTTCCCTGCTCATCAGGAAACAATGTGCTTCTCAGTGTGACAAGTCCTATCTCTGGGCTTCACAGGGAAGTGAGTGGTCCTTCACTGGGACCCAGAGTTTGGCTGAGGAGAGCTAGTTATTTACAAATAACTATTAAATGTATCTAGTTGGGGGCAGAGCTAGGCTTGTGTGCCCCCAGAAGATTGACCACTGAATCTCAAAGGCATGCGAAGACTGCAGGAAGGACATGGTTGAGAAGCCAGTGCATGCAGAAAGAGAATGTCCACCTCGGTTAATGAGGATTAGCTGGAGGATATGCTGTGGTTCATAGCAGACGTACTTTCGGGGTAATGCTTCCGGGAGCGTTGTAATTAGAGATGGCCACACACACATTCTGTCATTTAGGCAGGTCAACAAATACGCGGCCCTTTCCTGTGTGTGATTCCAAATACTCCCAGCTCAGGACAGTGTCAGGTTTCTATGCAGGACTTTTCTAATCCAGACAAGCTTTCCCTCTGAGCAAAGGTTCTCAAATTCACGGTATGTGGGTAAGGCAGGTCAGAGAGGAGTGGAAAACAGCAAAGCTCGCCTCCATGTGGAGGAGTTGCTTGTTGTTCAGACCCTGTGTGGTTGTAAATGAAATGACCTCTGTTGGGCGTCCCCATGCAGACCACACACAATAGAAAGAGGAAAAGGGAACGCAGTTAACTGTGGAAAGGGGTTTGTTCTGCTGGGATGACAATAGTTTAAATATAAACCATAGCTCTTGCTGAGAGGAGACCTGGAGAATGTTTCTGGAAGGAGAACAGAAGGAACCTCAAGGGAAAATAACGTGTTGTTTTTAAAGCATCATCTGGGGTGATGCTGATGCCGCTGGTCCAAGGACTACCCTTTGAGGAGCAGGGCCTTGAAGGACACAAGCCCTGAGGCTGAGTGACAAGAAAATATGCATTAAAAAAATGCAAACAGCATCATGGCTGGAGTTTGTATTGATGGGAACTCAACACCACGGACCAGTGGGCTGGAAAACCAGGAAGGATGAGAACAGGATGGCCCTTTTGAAGTAACTTGCTACATAGTAATAAGTACCTAGTACAAAGGAATTTGGCAGAAGTTCTTAAGAGAGACACACAGAAATATCCTCTTAACCTTGACTTTGTCATCTGTCCCAAGGAACTCACCAAGAAACCAGGCAAGAGATGCCCTATGCAAGAGAAAGCATCATGGAGCTGCTTTGTGTCAAAAACCAACCCAAGAAATGAAAAGAGGAAGTACAAAATACAAAGCACACCCCCACCTGGTCAGTGTCAGGCTAAAGGTGGAAGTGGGTCCCCACAACACAGTTCTGACCTAGGAGACCAGGCCTACTCTGCACTCCCTAGACCACTCACTGGTCAGAGTGGGGGGCAGGTGTCAAGGCCACCATGGAAGCAATGGGCATGCCACAAGCTATTAAGGGTATTCTTTAGGTGCATTCTTCTCCCAGGTCTTTAATTTACTGTGCATGCCCTTCAAGGCACCAGGAATCCAGGGCAGCCTAATGTGTTCTGGCTCCCTTCCCATGGAAACCAGTGCAGATTTGGAGGGGAGGAGGAAACAGTGGAAAAGTGGGAGGTGGAGGCAATTTGAGTTTTGCTACAAAGATCCTCCAATATACCACTGACACATTCCCCAGTTGCCTAGACAAATTAATAGGCTTTTGAGTGGAGTTAGGCTCTGTTTGCTTGCAGAGCCACTTTGTTCAAATATATAGTCATATAATTAAGATGATTTTAGCTGCAACTAACCAAAATTCCAACTCAAAGAACTGAAACAATAAGAAAATCTGTAGGGTACAAGACAGAGTTGAGGTAGACTAGTTCCGGTGTTGATTAATTCAGTGGTTTGATGACTTTATCGCAGACCCAATGTATTAGTCAGGATTCTCCAGAGGAAAAGAACCGCTAAGATTCATATAGATATATAGAAAGGATTTATTATAAGAGATTGGCTTATGCAGTTATGGAGGCTAAGAAGTCCCACGATCTGCCATCTACAAGCAGGAGGCCCAGGGAAGCTGGTGGTGTAGTTCCACTCCAAACCCAAAGGCCTGGGAACCAGGACGGCCAATGATGTAAGTACCAAACTGAGACTGAGACCCAAGCACCAACAGCCAAGGGCAGGAGAAGATGCATATCCCAGCTCAAGCAAGAGAGAAAATTTGCCCTTCCTCTATCTTTTTTGTTCTATTAAGGCTCTCAGAACATTGGATTATGCTCCCCTTCCTTAGTGAGGGCCATCTTCTTTACTTAGTCTACAGATTCAAGTGCTAATCTCTCCTGGAAACACTTTCACAGACTCACTCAGAAATAATGTTATACCAGCCATCTAGCCATCCTTGAGCCCAGCCAAGTTGACACATAAAATTAGCATCACACCCAGCTTTTTGCTTCTTTTTTTTTCAAGTTTTTATTTAAATTCCTGTTAGTTAACATATATGGTAAAATTGGTTTCAGCTATAGAATTTAGTGATTCATCACTTATATACAACACCCAGTGCTCATCACAAGTGCCCTCCTTAATGCCCATCACCCATTTAGACCATCCCCCACCCACCTGCCTCCAGCAACCCTCAGTTTGTTCTCTATTAACTATAGGGTCTCTAATGGTTTTTGCTTCTTTAAGCTCTGCTATTCTGTGTTGGCTTTATCCTTCAACTGACTCTTACCATGGTCACAAGATGGCAGTAGCACTTCCAGAGGTCATAGCTAGATATGACAAAATCAATATAAAGAAGAAAATGTTGGGGCACCTGGGTGGCTCAGTCAGTTAAGTGTTAGACTCTTGATTTCATATCAGGTCATGATCTCAGGGTCCTGCAATTAAGCCCTGCATCAGGCTCCGTGATCAGTGCAGAGTCTACTTGAAGTTTCTCTCTCTCTCTCTCCCTCTCCCTCTGCCCCTCTCATGCACTTGCTCACTCTCTCTCTCAAATAAATAAATAAATCTTTAAAAGAAGAAAATGTCTATTCTTGTATATCTCTCTTAGGAATATTTGCCATATTCCTCTGTGTTACATATCTATTCTTATATTAAAAAAAAATTACTACAAAAATTAACAGTTGAGGCAGGGATTGGCAAATTTTCTTTCCATAAAGAATGAAATGATAACTATCTTTGGCTTTGTGGTTCACATAATCTCTATCACAATTACTCAACCCTGCCATTGTAATGGGAAAGCAGCAATAGACAACATGTAAATCAATGGACATGACTGTGTTCCAATAAAACTTTATTTACAAAAACAGGCAGCAGGGGTGCCTGGGTGGCTCAGTCGTTAAGCGTCTGCCTTCGGCTCAGGTCATGATCCCAGGGTCCTGGGATCGAGCCCCACATCGGGCTCCCTGCTCCGCGGGAAGCCTGCTTCTCCCTCTCCCACTCCCCCTGCTTGTGTTCCCTCTCTCGCTTGTCTCTCTCTGTCAAATAAATAAAATCTTTAAAAAAACAAACAAACAGGGGTGCCTGGGTGGCTCAGTTAGTTAAGCGACTGCCTTTGGCTCAGGTCATGATCCTGGAGTCCCAGGATCGAGTCCCGCATCGGGCTCCCTGCTCGGCAAGGAGTCTGCTTCTCCCTCTGACCCTCCCCCGTCTCATGCTCTCTCTCTCTATCTCATTCTCTCTCTCAAATAAATAAATAAAATCTTTAAAAAAAAAAATAAATTAAAAAAAATTAAAAATAAATAAAAATAAATAAAAATTAAAAAACAAACAAACAACAACAACAACAACAAAAAACAGGCAGCAGGCTGGATTTGGTCTTCCATTTATAGTTTGCCAACTCCTGTCTTAAAACAACAAACATCTTTTACCTCACACTGTTTCTTTAGGTCAGGAATCTGGGCACAGCTCAGCTAGGTGGTCTTGGCTCAGAGTCTCTCATGAGGTTGCAGTCAACCTGGGGCAGTGTCATCTGAAGTCTTGACGAAAGCTAAAGGATCTGCTTCCATGATGGCTCCTCCAAATGGCTGTTAGCAAGAGGCCTCATTACATGTACCTCTCCATAGGGCTGCTTAAGTGTCCTCGGCAGCTGGCTTCCTCCAGAATGTGAGATCTGAGAGAGAGAGTAAGAAAAAAGCCATGACATCTTTTTATGACCTGGTCATACATATTTTGCCATATCCTAGTCTTTGGAATTGAGTCATTTGTCCAGCTCACACTCAAGAGGTAAAGAATTAGTGTCTCTCTTGTGAGGGGTCAAAACATAAAAACAAGATGATGGCATCAAATCAGTCTTGATGTCTTGGGCCAAATGTGTGCTCCATTTCTAATAATTGAGATTTAGCCTTATTCCTGAAGCCTATTTTTACCATGTACTTGATTTCTCTGTTCCCTGGGCCTCAGCTCATTGACCTAAAACTCACCCAAGTTGGAGAGACTCTTCAAGCAGACTCCCCGCTGAGTGTGAAGCCCAACGCAGGGCTCACTCCCACGACCCATGAATTCATGACCTGAGCCAAAACCTAGAGTTGGACGCTCAACCAACTGAGCCACCCAGGCGTCCCCAAGACTCTTTATCGCATGTGCTACTGGGAAGCCACAGGTCTGCCATGTATGGTTGTACAGTGTGTACACTGTGTAAGGGGCCCAGATGAGATGAAAAATTGGGGCTGAAATCTAGCCTGCACTCAGTTCATCAAGCCTTGTCCCCTGAAGAAGGAAACAATTTTTGTCATTCTTTTGCCTGAAGGAGCCACCTCTACAAGGATCTACATAAAAGGTGACTTATGTACCTGGGATGTTGATTTTTTGCATGATTTGTCCCCAACCTTGGTATATTTGTCTGTAACTCCAGCCTGTTGAGATTTATTTGGGTCCTGACTCTGGTATTCACCACATTCCCTATGTCTCCATAACTTTATATGTCAGGAGGTTACACATACCCAGAGAATACATGAGACAATCCATTTGGGTTCAGGTTTAAAAAAAAAAAACTTCTGTTTCTAAGGGGTTTTATTCATCTAGAGAAAGAAAGAAATTAAGCCTTACTATAAATTAGTTAATGTTAGTTGATGTTTATAAATTAATGTCAGCAGATGTTCATAATTTATAAATAAATATATGTATATTGAGGTAGACGCTCAGAAGTTTTTATAGATGCATGATCAGGAAATATTAAAGACTATTGTTTAATATCATCATCTAAGTCACTGATAAAAATTTTAAATGAGGCCAGGCTGAAAATAGAACCTAGAAATGAAGACTGATCCAATAGGCTATCTGGGTACCAATACAATTTGATCCCGCATCTAAGCCAAATCAACTGTTACCTAACAGATACTCCATGCTCAGCAGCCTCTAAGATGGTCCCCAGTGATCCCAACTCCTGCTTTTCACACCCACGTAAACGATATTTTGCATGACAGATCATGCAGCTTTGTAAAAATCCTGAACCAGAGGTGTCCGACTAAGCCACCCCCAGATTCCTGACCCATAGAAACTGTGAGACCAAAAATGTTTGCTGTCATAAGTTGCTAAGTCCAGGAAATTTTGTAACACAACAGTAGATAACTAATAGACTCTTCTAAGTGATTTGTAATAGATATCTCTAAACTTGCAACAACAAACAACCCTGCAACCTAAATATTATCATCCTAGTTTTACAAATGAGTAAAGAAAGGCTCAGAGTATTTAAATGGCTTTTCCGGTTTAAAACAGCTAGTAAATGACAGGATTCACTCTAAAATCCACACTCTTTTCCACTTACAATAATTATTCCCATATCTAGCTCTATGACCTTGAGCAAGTAACATCAAACTCTTAGTTTCCTCATCAGTAAAATTGGGGACTGAAACGAATTATTCATCTCTAATATTATAAAATTCCATCCCCCTCCTCTGCTTTAGCCACAGCCCGAGAAGCAAGTTTAAATGACTTTTATGCTAGAGAATGTTGGGGGTGAGGGGTGAGGATTTGAAGATCACTTGATTTAGCTAAAGAAATACATTGAAGTCAGAAACCACTGAAGCTTAGGAATCTCCATTATTTCTGTAGCTGATGCCAACCGCTTCCCATATGTCCCAGTGCTGCCACTCAGAGGATAAAAGGGGGATGCGGTCTATTTCTTTTTTTCTTTTTTTTTTTTTTTAATTTTATTTATTTGACAGAGAGAGACAGAGAGAGAGGGAACACAAGCAGGGGGAATGGGAGAGGGAGAAGCAGGCTTCCCGCCAAGCAGGGAGCCCGATGCGGGGCTCAATCCCAGGACCCTGAGATCATGACCTGAGCCGAAGGCAGACACTTAAGGACTGAGCCACCCAGGCGCCCCGGATGTGGTCTATTTCTTAGGAGGAAAGGAAGAAGCATCTACTCTATCAGAGATCCCCCAGCTACAAAAAATATAACGAAAGTAATAAAACTTATTTTTACTGCAACTCAGCGTACATCCCCTTAATAGAGTGATGTGACAGAAAGAACTTTGCAGAGCAATGCAGAGAAAGAGGTAGCATAGAGGCAAAGAGGGGCGCCATGATGTATTTACACATTCTTTTTTTTTTTTTTTTTAAGAAAAAGAGGGAAAGAGAAAGCACGAGTGGGGAGGTGGGGCAGAGAGAGAGGGATAGAGAATCTTTTTTTTTTTTTAAGATTTTATTTATTTATTTGAGAGAGAATGAGAGCACATGAGACGGGGGAGGGTCAGAGGGAGAAGCAGACTCCCTGCCGAGCAGGGAGCCCGATGCGGGACTCGATCCCGGGACTCCAGGATCATGACCTGAGCCAAAGGCAGTCGCTTAACCAACTGAGCCACCCAGGCGCCCCAGGGATAGAGAATCTTAACTAGGCTCCACGCTCAGCATGGAGCCCAATGCGGGACTCGATCTCAGGACCCTGCGATCATGACATGAGCAGAAACCAAGAGTCAGACACTTGCCTGACTGAACCACCCAGGCACCCCAACTTACACATTCTGAGATTCTGTTTCACTTTATCATGCTTTGCTATCATTTTCACTGGCTTTTTTGTATGTGTTCTGTTTTGACTCTTTCGATCTGTACCGGTGGTGCCTTCAAAAACCAGTGTTTCCAGCTAAGCCTCAAACCCAAAAACGTGGGAGCTACTGCCCTAAACCCTAGGACAATGGCCCACCTTGATCAGGGAGGGGACCTTTCGGCAGAAGCCCCTTCAAAACTCCCCCTGCCACTTTGGCATCTTTGGAAGTAAAAGGAATAGAGAGTTTCCACTTTAACCTGATGAAGAGGCTATTGTCCTCATAACTGAAGACACGAAGTCCGGATAAACAAACAGGTAGATAAAGGTAGATAAAGGTACAACAAGTTCCTCTCTTCCTCAATGGAAAGAGGCCCAGTAACAAATCTCTTGGGGTTTAATAGTATTTAGCAAGGCAGACTAGTTGGAAGCTTAAGGCCTTTGCTGTCTGATCATCCATTTGTTTCTTCGATGGTTCTACCATTTACTAGGTGGGCGAACACAGACAAGTTATTTGCCTTCTCTAAGCCTTAATTTCCATCTTTGCAAAAAGGAGGGAATTATGAAACCTCCCTCATGTATTATTGTGAAGGTTAAAGAAGATAGAACAGGGCACAGTGGTGCAAATAGTGGGGATTCAATAAATGCTGGATTTTCCTCTTTTGCATGCTTTTTTTTCTCTTAAGAAATTTCCATTTTTAAAAATCACCCTGGCTGCTCTAGGGAGACCGTATATAAATGGGAAGAATGGAAACAAGGAGATGAATCCAGAGGCTATTGCAGTTACAAAAGTGAGATACTAGTGGCTTGAACTCAGGGGGTTTGAGTGGAAAAAGAGAGAAGTGGTTAGGTCTGGGATGTGTTTTAAGGCTTTGTATTTTGTACTTCCTCTTTTCATCTCTTGGTTTGGTTTTTGACACAAAGCAGCTCCATGATGCTTTCTCTTGCATAGGGCATCTCTTGCCTGCCTTCTTGGTAACTGACTGAGTTCTGTGGGTCAGATGACAAAATCAACCTTAAGAGGATATTTGTGTATGTCTCTCTTAAGAACTTTTGCCAAATTCCTTTGTACTAGGTACTTATTCCTATGCAGCAAGTTACTTCAAAAGGGCCATCCTAGTCTCATCCTTCCTGGTTTTCCAACCCACTGGCCCACGGTGTTGAGTTCCCATCAACACAAACTCCAGCCATGATGTTGTTTGCATTTTTTCTTTTTTTTTTTTTAAACCATTTTATTTTATTTTATTTTTTATAAAGATTTTATTTATTTGACAGAGAGAGAGATAGTGAGAGCAGGAACACAAGCAGGGGGAGTGGGAGAGCGAGAAGCAGGCTTCCTGCCGAGCAGGGAGCCCGATGTGGGACTCGATCCCAGGACCCTGGGATCATGACCTGAGCCGAAGGCAGACGCTTAACGACTGAGCCACCCAGGCGCCCCATTTTTTCTTTTTGATGCATATTTTCCTGTCACTCAGCCTCAGGGCTTGTGTCCCCCAAGGCCCTGCTCCTCAAAGGGTAGTCCTTGGACCAGCAGCATCAGCATCACCCCAGATAATGCTTTAAAAATAACACATTCCTTTCCCTTGAGGTTCCCATGTATAGACTGCCCACAGCGGTCATTTCATTTACAACCGCACAGGGTCTGAACAACAAGCACCTCCTCCACTTGGAGGCGAGCTTTGCTGTTTTCCACTCCTCGCTGACCTGCCTTACCCACATACCGTGAGGTTTTAAGGGTAGAGTTGACAGGATTTACTATAAGGCACAAGGAAAGAGAAAAAAAATCCCTGTTAAAATTTATATTTAGCTTATTTCATCCCAAAGAAAGGGAACTTGACCCAATCCTATCCAGATTAGCATTGTCCAAAGAACTTTCAGTGACGCTGGAAATGTTCTACATAGGTGCTGTCCAATATAGTAGACATTAGCCACATAAGCCTTTTGAGCTCTTGCAGTGTGGCTAGTATGACTAAGGAATTGATTTTTTAATTTTATTTAATGTTTTTATTTTAATTCCAGTGTAGTTAACATACTGTGTTGTATTAATTTCAGGTATAATGATTCAACAATTCATATGTTACTCAGTGCTCATAATGATAAGTGTACTCTTAGTGCCCTTTATCTATT